ACTAGAACCAGGAAGTACGACCATATTAGTCCGGTCCTCAGGTCTCTGCACTGGCTTCCTGTGGCTCAGAGAATAGACTTTAAAACAGCTCTGCTTGTGTACAAGTCTCTCCATGGCCTCGCACCAAACTATATTAGTGACATGTTAGTCCCATATGAACCAGCCCGGACTCTGAGGAGCACAGGGACTGGACTCCTGTTAGTGTCCAGAGTCAGAACTAAACATGGGGAGGCTGCTTTTCAGATTCATGCTGCTAAAATCTGGAACAGTCTTCCTGAAGATGTGATACAGGCCTCCTCTCTGACAATGTTTAAAACCAGGTCAAAGACAGTTCTGTTTAGCTGTGCATACAACTGAGGGATTTTATATTTTTATCTTTCTTTTTAATGTTCTGTGATTATTTATGATTTTAATGCTTTCTTGTTTTGTTCAGAACTTTGAGTTGCCTTCAGATATCGTTCCAATCTCTTCACGCGGTGATGACGGAAGCGAGACGAGCCCCCGACCAACACCATCCATTCATTCACTCACTCGTTACATTGGGCTGTTTTATTTTTAGTGGTAGAGGAAACCGGAGCACCTGGAGGAAACTTACCCTGACACAGGGAGAACATATAAACTCCACTCAGAAAGGGCCTGTTCTGACCGGGATTCGAACCCCGGGATTGCTTCTTGCTATCCGTATGCCACCATGTGTGTGAATAATTGGGGCAGCTATAGCTATACAGGAAAGGCCGGGCAAGTTTAATTGTATAGCGCAGTTCATACACAAGGCAACTCAAAAGTGCTTAACAAAACAAGACAGAATCAGCGAATACATAATGCCCAAAAAATGCTATTTAAAACCGACACAATCACTTTTACATATGAGAAACAGTAAAACTTAAATCATAAAATATCAAAAGTCTGTTTACTGCATGATTCATACAGTCGGGTCGAGATCAGAAGCTGCAGTTATTATTTATAGGCTCTAGCTTGTTTTCTCACAGCCGTCAAAAGAACATTAGCCTTTTACTTTAGCTGACGGCTACGTTCGAGGAGCTACAAAAGTGGAATTTTAAGCAGATTCTTTAATGCAGATTCAGAACAATCAATCAAAACCATGTCCGTGGATGTTCGTCGGGACATTCGTCTATCGGATCTAAACCGTGGTCATTACCTGAAGCAGTTTTTTAATTTTTTTTTGCTCTTTCGTCTAAATCATGAAGGATGAAGAGTGCGGTGATTTGCCAGGGCTGAGTGCAGGTTCAAGCAGGAACACTGACAGCTTCTGTAAGGATTTAATTTGCTTTGATGGATGGAGGGTGCTTTACTGTGTTTCGCCGGGTCAAATAAAAGTCTTTCTGGTCGGCCCTCTTTGTAAGAAGGAGACAGAAGTTAAGAAACAAAAAGCACACTTAAAAAATTGGACAGAAGATTGATTGTGAAATACCAGCTCAACCAAAACACAGAGATTTCGTTAGCCCTAATGCATGGCTTGTTCGTCCACATTGGTCATTACTGGCATTACTGAATATCTTAGTAGGTTCAATGTCGAAGAAACTGAAAAAACTTGCCTGAGCAGCCATACCCTTCATCATTTAGAAACTTGTGATCAAATTGATGTTTTAAAATGGTTTGTATGCGGCTGGTGAGGCATGGAAAAGCCTGTAGATTTGTATTTTTGTGTGTTTTTATGTGATTCCCAGGTGAAAAAAATATATACTTAGTATACTGAAATTTAGCATACTAAATATATTTCAGAAATAACAGTCAAATAAACTTTAAGTGTGCTATTTTGAAACAACTTATTTTGTGCTTAATAGATTTAAGTTGAATTTAAATAGAACTTAAAGTAAATTGAAAGTATACTTAATATACTAATGTGTACTAAAATGGAACAACTTTAAGTGCACTTATTATACTTTAAGTATACTTGATTTTTGGGTATTTAATTCATGATTGAGTAATACATTTCAATGCAACTTCAAGTATATTTATAACATACTTGCAGTTAACTTACAGTATATTTTCAATTAACTTACAGTATATATAAAAATATATTTAAAACATTTTTTTCTGTATTATACAGATAAAAACAACAAATCATTGATACAATGCAACATAAACTTTATTATGCGCTTGCACATAAAATTTGCAACAACAGTGTTTCTTTACAAAAATAGTTGTTTACTATTTACTCAATTTACTCAAATAAAATGCATATTAACAAAAAAAAATCTTATATACATCTTACAGTACGTCCAAGTTGTCGACCGCATCCAGTCCCTGTCTATCGCCAGTAATTCCTGGAGGAAGTTTCTGATCAGTTTCAAGTTCTCTGCTGTCAACCAAATGCCTCAAGTAAAGGACACACTCCTCTTGTTTAAGCTCCTCAGGGTGACAAGTGTGTGAGCGAGTGTCTGTTTTTGTGAAAAAAACCCCCAAACAAACACAGTCCGGCTCTTGCGTCAAATCAACTTGAAAACACCGACTGGACAGAACTCATTAATAGCTTTAAATTGAGGTATGACATGGCATCTGCCTCCTACATGTCAAAGACAAACTATTTAAAACCATCAACTATTGTCTTTGAACTTAATCCAACTGGGGTAGAAGTCAATATTTATAGGGAGAATGGCAAGCCCCGGCGATCCAAGATGGCGCCCTATTCAAATGAATGGTTGTGCTCAGTGGCGCTTTGTGACCAAGCCCCGGCGATCCAAGATGGCGCCCTATTCAAATGAATGGTTGTGCTCAGTGGCGCTTTGTGACAGCATGGGGGCTGAAAGATTAGCGGAAGTTGCCTGAAACTCGCAAAGATCTATGGGAAACTCGCCTGTATTTGGGCATCGTCTGGTCCTCCCGGTTCTGCGCAGTGGATGATCTCCCATAATGCGTTGCGCCAAACACGCGTGTGTGGGTCTCACACCGGGTCTCACGCACGTGCACAGAGGGGCTCGGCCGCGCTCTGACCAATCAGAGCAGTTCATCAGAGCGGGAGTTAGAGCGAGAGCCAGAGGAGCAGAGTTTGTGGCACTAAAGTGTGGATTTAAACAAAACCGAAGGATTTAAGAAGAAAAAAAGTTCAGGATGACAAGGGACACTAAAATCCCCACAAAATCCGATCTTTATTAAAGCTGTAGGTTCTCTGTCAGCTGAGGTCGAGCTGTTTTAATATGCATTGAGTTCTATGGGGAAAATTTCTGGGTAGCCCACGTGAATTTAGTCTGGTTCAGTCTGCAGTACCGCGAGAATCCCCCGAGCACGTGAGTTATTCAGCTACAAGCTAGTAATACCCTATCCAGTTATTATAATAGATCCATGTTTGTGACAGCATGGGGGCTGAAAGATTAGCGGAAGTTGCCTGAAACTCGCAAAGATCTATGGGAAACTCGCCTGTATTTGGGCATCGTCTGGTCCTCCCGGTTCTGCGCAGTGGATGATCTCCCATAATGCGTTGCGCCAAACACGTGTGTGTGGGTCTCACACCGGGTCTCACGCACGTGCACAGAGGGGCTCGGCCGCGCTCTGACCAATCAGAGCAGTTCATCAGAGCGGGAGTTAGAGCGAGAGCCAGACGAGCAGAGTTTGTGGCACTAAAGTGTGGATTTAAACAAAACCGAAGGATTTAAGAAGAAAAAAAGTTCAGGATGACAAGCGACACTAAAATCCCCACAAAATCCGAGCTTTATTAAAGCTGTAGGTTCTCTGTCAGCTGAGGTTGAGCTGTTTTAATATGCATTGAGTTCTATGGGGAAAATTTCTGGGTAGCCCACGTGAATTTAGTCTGGTTCAGTCTGCAGTACCGCGAGAATCCCCTGAGCACGTGAGTTATTCAGCTACAAGCTAGTAATACCCTATCCAGTTAATATAATACATCCATGGAGAATGGTCGTAAAATAGGGAGCCCTATATGATGTGTTTTTAACATTGATTTGACATGAGAGCCTAGTGCTTTTTCACAAAAACAGACACTCGCTCACACTTGTCACTTTGAGGAGCATGAACAAGAGGTGTGTGCTTTACTTGAGGGATATAGTCAACAGCAGAGAACTTGAAACGGACCTAAACGACCTCCAAGTTTAGCGTGAATCACCAGCGAAACAAAGGCACCGGATGCGGTCGGCTCATGTCGCCCTTTCTCCCCGGAACTAGCTAACATACACACAGTGTATACATAAAATAATTACATAAAAGTATTCATTCCTTCTTTTGGCAGAACTGCTCATTTTTGCACTTCCGTCTTAGTGCTGCACGAACCTCGTAAACTGCATCTGCCAAAAAAAATAACAAAAAAAATATTTCAAATCCGTTTTGTAAATATAGTAAGTAATGTTTATATATATATAGTGCATTTTACAGACCAAGGTCATCCAAAGCGCTTTACAATGACGGTGATGACGGAGGCAAGTTGCCGAACACACTGGCGCATCAGCTCCAATCAACACCATCCATTCACTCTCTCATTTGCAAAGATACATCAGATTTCATACCTATTGTGCAAAAGATCCTGAGATCTCCCTTGAATCAGATTCCCATGCAAATTCGATTCAGGAAAAGCCATTTTTGAAACGCTAACATTGTTTCCAGGCAAGAAGTGCTGTGGGATGACATGAGCAGTAACCCTAACCCTCCACACTCCTTGATTAATTTTAAGGTTTCAGGCAGTTCTTCAAAAATAAAAAGTAAATTAAATTTCCTTAATGCAATTGTAAACCGCTTTGAAACTCAGATCTGCAGTTAAAAGGGGTATATAAATAAAGATTACTTACTTGCAAACATTATGAACAATATAGGTTAAATTTTGATAAGCCACTAAACTTACCACGAAGACATGAAACTATCTCTTCCATGGAAGGCGCTGCAGTATAACTGGGAATGAATCCATTTGCCTCCCTCACAACTGAAGCCACACAATCAACATTTTCCTCCTGTTAAGTATAACACATGTTGTAAATGATGTATGTATGTCAAAATACATACATGGTCTGAATGATGTGGGCTCTATGTGGGTTTCATCAGAACTGCTTGCTTGTGGGGAGAATTGTTGAGGCCATACGCCTAGCCTTCTCTTCTTTGACTGAGAATAAAGAAAATGGATATACTTTATAATACCACAGGTCAGTATATTGAATCATTAACATCACAACAAATTAGACTTACCATGCGGACAGGTGACAAACGCTCCTCTGAACTGCTGCCGAACAGATCCTCAGATTGTTCAAGATTTATTTTTTAAGAAAGTTTTTTTTTTTGTCCCTCAATTACGTTTCTTGTACTTGCAGTCTCTCTATTTCTTGGAGCTTTTTCTTTGCCTAGAAAAAAATGTATGGAAAGAGTTTAATATTTTCAATGCAAAGCATAGGTTTAAAACCCGAGTAGGGTTTTCATTACAAGTTAATATAGCCCAACTTTAAAAATCAAAAGCATACGTTTGATAGACCCAAACATAACATTAGCAAAAGCAAACATACCCTGTTCTGTATGTCTCACCTGACAAGATGTTTCTTCAGACCAGTCGCCATTTGCAGCGACACACGTGTCATCTATGGCCCAAATATTTTACCCAGGAGGAAAAAAAAACAAGTTCTTGAAATACATCTGAAAAGGAACGATCGGTGAGGCATAAATATTTCATCGTGAAATAAAATTACCTTGCAAGCTTAAGCTAACTTCAAATAGCAGCACTTTAGCAGCCTCTGTCCTGCTGGGTTCCTTTCGTGACCCACACTTAATTTCTATCCAATTGTCGTCGTCTAAATCGGGCTGGGAGGTTACCTGCTTGAATCTTCCTGAACTCTTTAGATTATTCGGTGTCTCACTTCAGCTGTGATGTGCAGGTAAATCGCCGCATGAGACTCACAGCTGAATGATGAAAGGTTTTGTGAAATTTTAACATTTTTAGCGCGAATAGATTTTACATCTGAAAATGGATTGTCTGATGTGAAAGGGGTACACAAGCTTCTGTTTTTAGTTAAAGCTGAGTAAAACTGATCATGTTTGGAGAGACAGCTGAAGATATCTTCTACATTTATTACTGAAGTGTTTAGAACCAGCAATGTATTTGCTGTTGATCCTTGAATGTTTGGATCCTTGAATAAATTGTTTGTTGTTCCTCTGCCAAATAATATTGAAAGAGATTAAAAGTAAGGAAATGTATCTTTTTTTCCAGATTAACAACATATTAATAGTTTATTTTAGTCTTAGTGTAAATGAAAAAAAAAAAAAAATATATATATTCTATTATATATATATATATATATATTTCCTTCTATCTCTCAACAGCTGTCAATCCAACACTATTGAATTTGTACTAAATCAAGTATTTTCTCTTACATTCAAGTATACTACCATAAAATATATTTAGAATACAAATCTGTAATGTATTTATGATATATTTTTCTTGTACTAAAATTAAGTGTAGTTTTCTTAAATACATTTTAAGTATACTCCTGTGAAATATATTTAAAATACAGATCTGTAATATATTTTAGGTATATTTTGAGCGTAATAAAAATTAATATATTATTTTTCAAATATATTATAATATAATAAATAATAAATGTATTTGGAGTACTTCTCTAAAATACACATTTAATAAACTTTAAATATACTAGATTTAAATATAATTTAACAAAATATGTTTACAATGTATTAGTTAGAAATGGAATACACTATAAGTATATTTAAATGTATATTTTTTTCACTTGGGTTTAAAGAGGCCTCCAGGAACGTATCTATGTTTGTCCACTAGGGGGCGATGTTGTCACAAGTTATGCAGAGCTGTTTTACATAATGAGGCATGAGCTGACTTTGGATTTGACTTGTTCCTCTACAGCTAAACGTTAAATATTGAAGTTAAAAATATATGTCTATCACTTTCGCATTTAGTCAAACATGTATCCTCCTCTGACAACTAAATGATGGGGTGAAAAATGAAATAGTTTTGTGTGGAATTAATTGATGTGGTCATTTAGATAGATAGATAGATGCAGATACATAGACAGATGCAGATAGATAGATAGATAGATTGGTCGGAGGTGGTCAGGGGGGCGATGGCACATACTGGTTGCCTCGCTTCTGTCCGTTTGCCCCAAGGCAGCTGTGGCTACAGTAGTAGTTTATCATCATTGTGTTTGGAGGGAATGAATATTGATATGTGAGTGACCAAAAAGTGCTAAATAAAATATAAAACCGACGCATCAGGTAGATCCATGGATAGATTTATTGACTTATTTATGTCAATTGTGGGAAAGGCAATACACAACACAACATATTACAATTACATTTTAAATAATTGTGGTCCTGTCGCACAAATGAAAAGAAGCAGATAGATCGATAGATAGATAGATAGATAGATAGATAGATAGATGCAGAATGTATGTGCAGCAGAAACATATACGTACAAACCTCAATAATTAGATACATTAGATTAGAAACACTCTTTTCCAACCCAAACACGGACTTGCTGCTGCCGTGGTTTGCGCATGCGCACCGCCAACTTCAAGCATAGTTCAGCTGGTTTGTTTACGACACCGGTGACACGTGGATGGACGGAGGGAGCGTGGGGGGATTAGAGAGACGTGCAAACACTCCAAACACAACACAACAACACAACACACAAAGTGACCCACACACACAGTCTCCGTCACCTGCTTCTGCTGCGGCCGAACATGTCTCTTTCTCCCGAGGAGAGTCTCTACGGTAAGATCCATCATATACCAATGTTGTTATAGATTCAAATACATATATAGCAATATTATAGCGCCTGTACAACCATATATCTTAACTAATTGTTGTCTAAATATTCATGAAACCTTTGCTATTTCGCTATTTGTGTAATCACCCCATATTTATAGTCTAGTTATGCAAGTATGCTAAAGCTGCTTTAATAGTTTATGATATGAATGATCCAAATAGGAGGAATGGAAAAACTGGACACAATTTACCCCAGATTTTAATTTATTTTTTTCAGTTTAATTTTGTGTTTTAATTCTTATTAGAAAATATTGTTTTGATACTAATACTTAAAGGTACACTGTGTAGTTTTTATTGCCATCTAGTGTTGAGATCATATATTGCAATCCAGGGTACTACGGAAGCCTTCGAAGGACAATATGTAGTCCTGACAATGCTTGGATCGGGTCAGAACATCCTGAGGCTGTTGCAGATTCTGCCTCATTCTCATTATTTTCAGTGTGAAAAAAGTTACGTATTGTCCATGTGTGAGTCTGTTGTGTACCAACTACACAATGTGCCTCCTGTTGTGTTAACGCTGTCTTTCGGTGCGTATGGTTTGCGATGTTGACAGTTTGCTGCTATGACGTCGGACTTCTGCATAATTATTTTTAAGATTGTTGTTCGGGTCATTCTTTTACATAACTGTGGTTCTCTATGGTTCCTTAAGGGCGGCACGGTGGCTGAGTGGATAGCACTCCTGCTTCTCAGCAAGAAGGTCCTGGTTTTGAATCCCAGTCGATACAGGGCCTTTCTGAGTAGAGTTTGCATGTTCTCCCTGTGCCTGCGTATGTTTCTCCTTCCACTAAAAACATGCACATCCTCCAGCTCCGGTAGTCCTGACCAAGCCGAGCCTGAACATCTGAAGACGGGTTCCCGGGCGCTGTTACTACGTCGACCACTGCTCCTGACGTAAGCCTTAGCGGCATCAGGATGGGTCAAATGCAGAGGATGAATTGCCCTACGGGGATTAATAAAGTGCACCTTTACGTTTACCTTTCTTCAAAGGTGTAAGCAACGGTATCAGTGGCAGTAGAAACAAAAACGCGATTCTCACATTCTTATTGTCCATTATCCACCACCGTATTTCAATATGACGTATTGACACGGAGAGTCCTCTTCTCTCATGGACATTTATTAGTTGAATTCTAAGCCCATGAAAACAACAAAAACCATGGTGGAAGTAAATATTCTTAAAAAGGTCACATTTGTTATTAGTTCACATGTCTTTTTATATGGATCAACTTTAAAAATTACACAGGGTGGCTTTGATATTAATCATTAGTATTAGTAGTGTCAGTTGTGGTAGTAGTAGTTGTAGTAATAGTAATTGTAGTAGTAGTAGAAGGCCAAAAGCGGTAACAGTAATAGTAGTAGTAGTAGTAGTAGTAGTAGTAGTAGTAGTAGTAGTAGTAGTAGTAGTTGTTGTTGCCCTATTTGGAAGCTTGACCATTGCATGTAAATAGTTAATTACACATTTGTAATTGTGAAATAGATTGGTTTATGCCCCACTGAGAAAGATGAAAAGGAGTCATATCTCCATGGAAACAAGCAGGAGTAGCCCTCTCTCCAGCACCAGGCCACGTGGAGGAGCCAGATTTATGGAGATGCAAGCCTGCTCACTATAAAAAGACATATTTTTCTATTTTTCTACAAAACATCGCTTGTAATTGTCCGTAGCTAGTTCCAGTGCGTGTCACGGTGGATGTGGGTTGTATAAAGGGATCCTACCGTGACTCACCTGAACTACACTCTATCTTTGTAAGCCAATTAAGTAGCTACATTTTTAGCTGTGTGTACTGTGTGGACCAGGTTTGGCATAGATTTAGATTACAAACATGTGGCGGCCGCAGCAAACAAGCAATAAGGGACACACTGCAAAAAACGGATCAAATATGAGTGCAGTAATTGCTTGAATCTAGTGTTTTTTACCTTAATTTGAGCACATTCTGACATTTTGACAGGTTTGACATCGCTTTTTGCAGTGCACACAGTAGCAGTAATGGTGTTTTAAGCCAGACGGATGATTTGAGAGTGAAGTGAGATTGATTGGTTCCCATTCAACTGTGGCACGTATTATATAAAGATCATTTAATGCTGCACCATCTCAACAGACGAGAAACAAGCAGTTGTTATGTCATGGCTCCTCTGTAGGGAAATAACTGGGGCATTGGCACAGCGCTCGGCCCAACCCCCACCCTGCTCCTCTCCTCTCGCTTCTCTCTACCTCCTCTCTCTCCTCTCCTTTCTCCCCTCTCTCCTCTTTCCTCTCTTCTCTCTCCTCTATTCTCTCCCCTCTCTCCTCTCTCATCTCTCATCTTCCCACTCCCCTCTCTCCTCTCTCCTCTCCCCTCTCTCCTCTCTCATCTCTTATCTTCCCACTCCCCTCTCTCCTCCCCTCTCTCCTCTCCCCTCTCTCCTCCTCTCTCTTCTCCCCTCTCTCCTCTCTCCTCTCGTCCTCTCTCATCTCTCCTCTCCCCACTCCCTTCTCTCCTCTCTCCTCTCTCATCTCCTCTCTCTTCCTCTCTCTCCTCATCTCTCCTCTCTCCTCTCTCTTCCCCTCTCTCTTCTCTCCTCTCTGCTCTCTCCTCTCTCATCTCCTCTCTCTTCCTCTCTCTCCTCATCTCTCCTCTCCTCTCTCTTCCCCTCTCTCTTCTCTCCTCTCTCCTCTCTCATCTCCTCTCTCTTCCTCTCTCTCCTCATCTCTCATCTCTCCTCTCTCATCTCCTCTCTCTTCCCCTCTCTCTTCTCTCCTCTCTCCTCTCTCCCCTCTCATCTCCACTCCCATCTCTCTCTCTCCTCTCCTTTCTTCCCTCTTGCCTCTCCTCTCTCCCCTCTCTCCTTTCCCCGTTCCCCTCTCTCTCTCCCCTCTCCTCTAACCCTCTCTCTCCTCTCCCCTCTCCCCTCTCTCCTCTCCTCTCTCTCCTCCCTCTCCCCTCTCTCCTCTCTCATCTCCTCTCTCGTTTCCCCTTCTCCCCCCTCTCTCTCTCCTCTCCTTTCTCCCCTCTTGCCTCTCCCCTCTCTCTCTCCTCTCTCCTCTCTCCTCCCCTCTCTCCTCTCCCCACTCCCTTCTCTCCTCCTCTCTCATCTCTCTCTTCCTCTCTCTCCTCATCTCTCCTCTCTCCTCTCTCATCTCCTCTCTCCTCCCCTCTCTCCTCATCTCTCATCTCTCCTCTCTCCTCCCCTCTCTCCTCTCCCCACTCCCTTCTCTCCTCCTCTCTCATCTCCTCTTTCTTCCTCTCTCTCCTCATCTCTCCTCTCTCATCTCCTCTCTCCTCCCCTCTCTCCTCATCTCTCATCTCTCCTCTCTCCTCCCCTCTCTCCTCTCCCCACTCCCTTCTCTCCTCCTCTCTCATCTCCTCTCTCTTCCCCTCTCTCTTCTCTCCTCTCTCCTCTCTCCCCTCTCATCTCCTCTCCCTTCTCTCCTCTCTCCTCTCCCCACTCCCATCTCTCTCTCTCCTCTCCTTTCTTCCCTCTTGCCTCTCCTCTCTCCCCTCTCTCCTTTCCCCGTTCCCCTCTCTCTCTCCCCTCTCCTCTAACCCTCTCTCTCCTCTCCCCTCTCCCCTCTCTCCTCTCTCCTCTCTCCTCACAGAGAATCGAGAGGACAATCATGTTGCTGCCGTTGATCTGTTTGGTATTTTGTAAATGCTGCATGTGTCTGACTATCATAAACACAACATGACGGGAGAGGAGCGAGCGAAAGGCTAATCTCGGACAGAAATAAAGTCTTACATAAGCAGACGCACTGTCAGCCTGTCGTAGTGTTTGGCTGTGTGAGTGTGTGAGAGAGAGTGTGTGTGTGTGTGTGTGTGTGTGTGTGTGTGTGTGTGTGTGTGTAAATCTGCCCGTGGACTCAATGAACCTCTGCATTCATTCATAGCCTTCTGAGACTTCATGGCAGTCTCTCGGAGAGTCCAGGGTTCATTTTTGCAACATGCCTCTGATCTGCCCCGATTTAGACCATATCAACTCTCAGTAATAGGTCAATACTGAGGTGTGACTTTGTGTGTTTGTGTCTCTGTATGTGTATGTATAATTAATATATTGTGGGTTGGGGTGGGTCGGTTGGGTGGATAGGTCGACGGGTTGTGGACATATGGGATTTAACCAAACCATAATTAAGCTCTTTGTGTTACATTTCTTGTATGACAAATGTTTTAGAAATTATATGTTATTAATGATTATAATGCATCGGTTTTATACAGCGCTTTTCAGGACTCTCAAAGACGCTTTACATGTTATTATTCTTTCACTTCATACACAGTAGTCGTTATAAACCACTACTGCACACGCGCACACACACACACACACACACACACACACACACACACACACACACACACACACACACACACACACACACCAGTCTCATTCTATCATGCTCATGCTATTTATTGATTGAATATGCAAAGTAGGGCTGGCAATTTTAGTGGAGCATGCTGGGAAAAAAAGCCACAAAAGACAAAAAACCACTATAATTAAACATTTTATAACATGGCCGACTGGTCTGGTGGTTAGTTCTGGGTTCGATTCTATCTCTAGGCCTTTCTGTGTTTCTGTGATTTCTGAGTTTGCATGTTCTCCTCATGTCTGCATAGGTTTCCTCACCACTAAAACATGCAGTTAATGAAATGAGAGAATGAATGGATTGCGAGGGGCTTGGATAGTTACATTCTGTAGCTAAGTGTTTTATGAACGATTTCTTTATGACTCCTCTGCTTCAGGATCGTGGGTGGAGCTGGAGGAGCTGATGGCCGCCGCTACAACACTGCAGGACAGCG